ACCACCCCATTCCCTGACAGGCCAGCGCGCGAGTGAGCACTCTCTGTGTGCTTCCTCTTCAGCTCCCTCGCGCGCCGCGTACTGATGCCGGAGCCGGAAGATGACGTCATCTTCCGGCTCCGGCATCAGTAAGGTGCGCGAGGGAGCTGAAGAGGAAGCACACAGAGAGTGCTCCCTCACGCGCCGGCCCGCCCGCCGGGTGACTGCAGGGCCAGCCTCTGGGGGGCCCTGAGGTGACCGGCTGCTGGGCCCCCCAGGAGAAGAGGCTGGCCCTGTGGGTACATACCGGGGTCGCAGGGCCCCCTGCGACCCGGTATGTACCCACTGAATGTGGGGCCCGGACGACCTTAGCAGTCCGGGCCCCCCAGGACCGCCGGGCCCATGACAACCGTTGCGGTTGTCATGCCCTGATGGCGGCCCTGCCTGGAAGCATATACATTTTCCACATTCACACTGATCGTGAGGGTGATTCATCATGTTCCCTTCCAGCAGGCAGAGATTGTGTTGCTCACTGGTGATGTTGCGAAAATAAAATTTTCGGTTCGCGAACGGCGAACGCGAACTTCCGCAAATGTACGCGAACGGGCGAACCGCCATAGAGTTCAATAGGCAGGCGAATTTTAAAACCCACAGGGACTCTTTCTGGCCACAATAGTGATGGAAAAGTTGTTTCAAGGGGACTAACACCTGGACTGTGCATGCCGGAGGGGGATCCATGGCAAAACTCCCATGGAAAATTACATTGATGCAGAGTCTGGTTTTAATAAATAAAGGGCATAAATCACCTAACATTCCTAAACTGTTTGGAATAACATGCTTTAAAACATCAGGTATGATGTTGTATCGATCAGGTAGTGTAAGGGTTACGCCCGCTTCCCAGTGACAGACCAAACTCCCCGTTTAACGCACCGCAAACAACCGCAAACAGACCATTTGCACAACCGCAAACTCCCCACTTGCACAAGGTTGGATACCAAGCTAGCCATGTCCCGTTCCTTGACCTCAGTGATGTCATTGAAGGTCTCTTCCTCCATTATAAGGTGTGTTAAGTAGTACTATTCCTATCAGTTTAATCCCTGTTACGTCCCCTATCAGGGGACGTGTATATGGTATCGATTTTAGGAACCGGGAGATGGAAAAGGATGCTTGGTCGGTCCTCCTACTTCAAATTTGGGGCACTGCACGTGCAATCTAATGTGCCACCAGATAGGAGTGGTGTGTTAAGTAGTACTATTCTTATCAGTTTAATCCCAATGTCACGACTACTAGTGTGGTCCAGCACGCAGAAACTATGTAAACATATACATAGGCAAGAAAAGGAAAATAAAAGGACAGAGCGTAAACCGGACCTTAGAATGGCCGGACTAATACGCTAGAGACAGAGAATGGTCAAAGGGAAAGCCGAGGTCAAGGAAGCCAGAAAATACACAATACCGTTTACACAAGCCAAGTCAGGGAAACCAGAATTCAGAATAACCAGGGAAAAGCCAAGATCAGGATACCAGGAAATCAGATTCACAATGATAAAGCACTCTCAGGAAACCAGGAACAGGAAACCACGACAGGGCAAGGTACTGGGGTGAGCTAGGGATTTAAATATCCCGCGGCGGGCCGGCAGCCGTGACACCCTGTTACGTCCCCCTCATCAGGCCTTTTTTAGTCGAATGTATCGCCCACTGTCAGTCCCTTCGGGATCCATCCCTCATTCATCTTAATAAAGGTGAGGTAATCTAGACTTTTTTGACCTAGGTGACTTCTCTTCTCAGTGACAATACCTCCTGCTACACTGAAGGTCCTTTCTGACAGGACACTTGAAGCGGGGCAGGCCAGAAGTTCTATCGCAAATTGGGATAGCTCAGGCCACAGGTCAAGCCTGCACACCCAGTAGTCAAGGGGTTCATCGCTCCTCAGAGTGTCGATATCTGCAGTTCCAACGTGTTGGGCTGTCGCAAATCAAGCGCCTCACTGGCATGTTTTTTCGCCGCTGGATATCTGAAAAGTGCGCCATGGCCATGTAGGAACGCCTGAAATTGCACACACCTTCCTGGCCTGCTTCAGGACGTCCTGTAAGCCTGGGTACTTATGCACAAAGCGTTGTACGATCAGATTACAACGTCACCAACTCCTCTGCAGAGCCACGTATTCCATGCTTGGCAGCCATCAGCAGGTTTACCCAATGCGCAGTGTAGGTGATATACCTGCCCTGACCATGCTTTGCAAACCAGGTATCAGTGGTCAGATGGACCCTTGCCCCAACACTGTGTGCCAGACATGCCATTACTTCCATTACAGGGCAAGGTACTGGGGTGAGCTAGGGATTTAAATATCCCGCGGCGGGCCGGCAGCCGTGACACCCTGTTACGTCCCCCTCATCAGGCCTTTTTTAGTTGAATGTATCGCCCACTGTCAGTCCCTTCGGGATCCATCCCTCATTCATCTTAATAAAGGTGAGGTAATCTAGACTTTTTTGACCTAGGTTACTTCTCTTCTCAGTGACAATACCTCCTGCTACACTGAAGGTCCTTTCTGACAGGACACTTGAAGCGGGGCAGGCCAGAAGTTCTATCGCAAATTGGGATAGCTCAGGCCACAGGTCAAGCCTGCACACCCAGTAGTCAAGGGGTTCACGCTCCTCAGAGTGTCGATATCTGCAGTTCCAATGTTGGCTGTCGCAAATCAAGCTCACTGGCATGTTTTTTCACCGCTGGATATCTGAAAAGTGCGCCATGGCCATGTAGGAACGCCTGAAATTGCACACACCTTCCTGGCCTGCTTTCAGGACGTCCTGTAAGCCTGGGTACTTATGCACAAAGCGTTGTACGATCAGATTACAACGTCACCAACTCCTCTGCAGAGCCACGTATTCCATGCTTGGCAGCCATCAGCAGGTTTACCCAATGCGCAGTGTAGGTAATATACCTGCCCTGACCATGCTTTGCAGACCAGGTATCAGTGGTCAGATGTACCCTTGCCCCAACACTGTGTGCCAGACATGCCATTACTTCCTTTTGCACAATCGAGTACAGGTTGGGGATTGCCTTTTGTGCAAAGAAATTTCGGCCGGGTACCTTCCACTGTGGTGTCCCAATACCTACAAATTTTTTGAACGCGTCAGACTCCACCAGCTTGTATGGTAAAAGCTGTCGGGCTAAGAGTTCAGTCAAGCCAGCTGTCAGACGCTTGGCAAGGGGGTGACTTTGTGACATTGGTTTCTTATGCTCAAACATGTCCTTGACAGACACCGGACTGTGGGCAGATGAGCAGGAACTGCTCAAGGCGAGAGACGGAGGGGCGGATGGCTGAGAGGGGGCAAGGAGGACAGCAGTGGTTAACGTGGCTGAAGATGCTGGACCAGGAGGAGGATGGCGGCTTTGAGTTTGTGTGTTGCTTGTACTCGTGTTGATCCCATAGGCGTTTGTGATGTGCGATCATGTGTCTTCGCAAAGCAGTTGTACCTAGGTGGGTGTTGGACTTCCCACTACTCATTTTCCTTTGGCACAGGTTGCAAATGGCATCGCTGTTGTCAGAGGCAGACAAACAAAAAAAATGCTGAGCTCTGCAATGACGGCATTCTGGTGGTCGCAACAGCATGCGTTGATTGGCGTGCTGTCTGGCTGACCCCGGGTGCCGATGCATGCTGTCTGACTGTGCCACTAGCTCCTTGCGACGACCTCCCCCTGCTTCCAACTCGTCTCCTCCTCCTCCTCTCTGTCTCCCCATCTGAACTTTCCCCTGTTCTTCTTCTCTTCTAGCAGGCACCCACGTGACATCCACGGACGCATCGTCATCATCAACCGCTTCACTTGTATCTGACAACTCAGCAAAGGAAGCAGCAGCGGGTACAACATCATCATCACACCGTACATCCATGTGTGTAATGCTGCCTGACTGAGACATATCCCTGTTATCTACATCCTCTGGCAATAATGGTTGCGCATCACTCATTTCTTCCAACTGATTTGTAAATAACTCCACTGACATACCAAGTGAAGCTGCTGTGGTGCTAGTGTTGGTGGTGGCGGCAGGTGGGCGAGTGGTAACTTGAGAGGTGCCCGAAGCTAAGCTGGAGGAGGATGGTGCGTCAAGTTTCCGAGCGGAAGCTGTAGAAGATTGGGTGTCCTGTGTTAGCCAGTCAACTATGTCCTCAGAACTTTTCGAGTTCAGGGTACGTGGCCTCTGAACACTGGACATTATTCTAGGGCCAAAGGAAATCACAGCACCACGACCACGACGGCCCCTGCGGGGTGGCCTGCCTCTGCCTGTCATTTTTTTTTTCGATTAGTGGTACTATGCGTGCAAGCTACTGTGACACTAGATATGAGTGGCACTGTGCAGTGGCAGAAGTTGGCAGAGTAGACGCTGTAGGCCTGACACACACGCTTGCAGACAACTAACTGCTATTCAATCTATTACAGTCAATTTTTTTTTTAAATGTACACTACTGTTACACCAGATATGAGTTGCACTGGTGTGACACTGTGCCCTGACAGGCCATGAAACGCACACGTGTGAAGGAAACTGACTGCTATTATATTACAGTCCAAAAAGTTGTTTGTTTTTTTTGTTAAATGCAAGCTATTGTGACACCGGATATGAATGGTGGCACTGGGCAAGTGGGCACAGTATACGCTGTGAGCCTGACACACGCTTGCAGACAACTAACTGCTATTCAATCTATTACAGTCAATTTTTTATTTTTTTTATTTTTTTTTAAATGTACACTACTGTTACACCAGATATGAGTTGCACTGGTGTGACACTGTGCCCTAGCAGGCCCTGAAACGCACACGCGTGAAGGAAACTGACTGCTATTATATTACAGTCAAAAAAGTTGTTGTTTTTTTTTAAATGCAAGCTATTGTGACACCAGTGAGTGAGTGGTGGCACTGGTCAGGCCCTGAAAAGCACACTCGTGAAGGAAACTGACTGCTATTATATTACAGTCCAAAACGTTTTTTTTTTTTTTTTTTTTATGCAAGCTATTGGGACACCAGTGAGTGAGTGGTGGCACTGGGCAGGCCCTGAAACGCACACTAGTGAAGGAAACTGACTGCTATTATATTACAGTCAAAAAAGTTTGTTCTAGCCCTAAAAAGGGCTTTTTGGGGTGCTGTCCTTACAGCAGAGATCAGATGAGTCCTTCAGGACTGTAGTGGACACTGAATACACTAGCCTAGCTATCAATTTCCCTATCAAATCAGCAGCAGCTACACTGTCCCTCCTCTCACTAAGAATGCAGCTTCACAATGAATGTAAAATGGATGCTGTCCAGGAGGTGGGAGGGTCTGGGAGGGAGGATCTGCTGCTGATTGGCTGGAATGTGTCTGCTGACTGTGAGGTACAGGGTCAAAGTTTACTCAATGATGACGAATAGGGGGCGGACCGAACAGCGCATATGTTCGCCGTCCGTGGCAAACGCGAACAAGCGATGTTCGCTGGGAACTATTCGCCGGCGAACCGTTCGGGACATCCCTATTGCTCACCCAATTCTAGCAGAGTAAACTATGGTTCCTGGACCTTGTGGAATTGTTGTTTAAAGATCCTGTTCTGCCACCTTCTTATCAAACTCTTCTCACAGACCTGCAAGGTTGGGCTCCACCATCTAATCTTAGAAGACCAACTTAATTTAGTGGCTTGGATGCTTTCTGTGGTTGTTATGATTCAATATTGTTAGACAGAGAATTTTGGAACACAACCACATAAATAATTAGTATTATTATACGTTTAAGAAAAACAAAGAGAACTTCCAATATATATTTTGAGAGGTTTTATTATCTCTTATTGAATCAAGTTGAAGACACTTTACCTCATACTTCCAGTTTTGGCAAAAAGGAAAAAAAGAATACTTTATGCAATTATCTTGTTTGCATTAAATGGATAAAATAATAATAATGTCCTCATTTATTCAAATAGGTTTTTAGAATCCATTCATAACTAAAGAAAATGAATTGCACAGGGAATTGATTATCCTTAAATGCAATTTAAACTTGATAAGTGGCATATAGAATTTGATTGTCCTTTTGGGCAGGTTGCAGCAATAATTAAACTTGATAAGTGGTAGACATGTGCAATTCGTTTTGGGCCGAATATGAATTCGGACGAATTTCGGGCAATTCGAACATTCGGGTACTTCTGAATGTCCGAAGTGCCGAATTACCGAGGTGCCGAAGTTCCGAAGCACAGTATTGCCTAAGAACCAATATACTTACCCAGTGGAAGAAGAAGAATGTTACACTGTATACAATTTTAAATAAAAAGTATACAAACATAGCCAGTATTCAGCTGTAAGCATTTGCAACACTTACAACAATCAAGTAACATACATTCATATAAAATGTAAGTTACTTGGCCAGTCAGTGTAATGACAAGAACGAATAAGTAGATAACTCCCTAATTCCCATGTGTAACGGCTTCCCAGGTAGTAAGGGGTTATCAGCCGTTGGAGACGTCCTTTTCCTGGCAAGCTGCTGTGTAGTAATGGAGTTCTTAATCCCATCCACCAAATCCAAGGGTAGAGTCAGGCATAACTGTAAACTGGAGAAGAGTAATGGTACAATAAATCCCCTTCCAAGAACGAGACGAGGCTACGTTTTGAAGGGTCAAACAGAACTGAGGTTTATTGACAGGGGTCTCCTTTTATGCAATGCTGCCCAGGAAAGGGCTACACCTTCATAATTATCACAATACCCAATCACCAACATGGTACAACCCACTCGTCTCCTCCCCTCAGATAAAACATTTAACATAATTATAACCCACACAATTTTACCCAAGTTCTGGATGTACCCCAAAACCAGGGGGTACACCCTTAAATCCAGTATCCCCAGATAGCTCTTGTTCAGGGGAACAACATATCAAAAATCCAGCCCATTCGGTTAAAGCGGTCGGGAGTTATGGGTCTTTGAAGTTTCCCGTTCGTGCATTAAAAACCCACTAAAATCTTGCCATCCACAGTTATCTTGACGTTCACCAGAATCTCCATGCATAGTTTAATCTTTTTTAAACGGCCGGCCGTTCGGTAGTTTCAGCACGAATCCACGTTGTTATGGAGGTCTCAGCCGTGTTCGTCTGTTTGCGTATCCGTTTTTAGTTCCACACGATTGATGGCAAAACACTGCTGTTCGTGCGCAAGATGGCCGCGAACACGTGCAAAGTCCCGAAATGGCGACCACCTATACTTTACACAAAGGATTCGTGCTGAACCATGCGAACGGCTGTGCTGGTCTGGGAGGTAAAGTATCACTTAACTTTTACTTCAGTGTGGTCCGGTGTTCGGTAGTTTGGATTCGTTTTCTTGGGCAATAGTGGTTCGCATAAACAGGCAAGTCGGTTCATTTGTACATCCATGGTATCCAATTGTTAAATAAGTCCAGGCAGAGATTGCAATCCTGTTACACCATGTTATTAGGGAGCTATCTACTAAAAGGCTGAAAGACCTGAATTGGTCTTTCAGCCAAATTTACTAATACTAAGTAAAGATTACTTGGTATTAGTAAATTATGCCCCTACTCGCTATACCGCGAGTAGGGGCATGTCTATTAAAAAACATGTCTATAAAAAAGAAACAAACAAAAAATGTCCCCCCTCCCCCTCCTAACCTGAAGGGGGGGATCTATTGCCCCCCCGGCTCCCACCCCTGAACGGTGGGTGGGAGCCCTAAAGTCTTTCAGCCAAATTTACTAATACTAAGTAAAGATTACTTGGTATTAGTAAATTATGCCCCTACTCGCTATACCGCGAGTAGGGGCATGTCTATTAAACAGTGAGCAGCCTGTGGCTCCTCACTGTAAAAAACAAACAAACAAAAAACAAAAAATTTCCCCCCTCCCCTAACCTGAAGGGGGGATCTATTGCCCCTCCCCGGCTCCCACCCATAAGCAGCAGGTAGGGGCCCTAAAGTAAAGTAATGGGGGGGACCTAATGTCCTCTCCCTTGGCCCCCACCCCTGAGCGGTGGGTGGGGGCCCTAAATACTAATTGGGGGGGACCTAATGTCCTCCCCCTGGCCCCCACCCCTGAGCGGTGAGTGGGGGCCCTAAATACTAATTGGGGGGGACCTGAGCGGTGGGTGGGGTCCCTAAATTAGAATGAAGGGGGAGGACCTAATGTCCTGCCCCCTGGCCCCCACCCCTGAGCGGTGGGTGGGGGCCCTAAAATACTAATTAGGGGGGACCTAATGTCCTCCCCCCGGTCCCCACCCCTGAGCGGTGGGTGGGGGCCCTAAATTAGAATAAGGATAATCACTTTCTATGTTCCACTTATTAGGCATGTGCATGGGAAAATGTTTCGGTTTGGTTCGGCATTCCGAAATTCGGGACTTCGACAGTTCGACACTTCGGAAATTCAGTAATTTCGGAACTTCGGGACCTCGGCAATTCGGAACGTCTCTTGCAGCCGCTTGGTAGATAACTCCCTAATACTGTGGGAATTAGGGAGTTATCTACCAAAAGGCTGAAAGACCTAAATTGGTCTTTCAGCCAAATTTACTAATACTAAATAAAAATGACAGTATTAGTAAATTGTGCCCCTACTCGCAATACCACGAGTAGGGGCATGTCTATTAAACAGTGAGCAGCCAGTACAGAAAGATAAAAAGGGGTAGGTTAGCGCTAATAATACAGTGGATAGGCAGCAACCTTACAGAGGGTAGCCCTCTCACCCTCTATGTTAAAACGTGCAACAAGGAGAAAGAAAGGCTGCACCAAAATAAGAGGTACTAAAAATATAAAAATACAGTAAAAAATAATAAAAATATATATAAAAGAAGTCCAATAGAATGTCTGAGGTTGGATAGACTGGGTCACTGTATTTGCTGGTAGTGTGTCTTCTATGTTTCTAGTAGTCCAAATCATCTTGTGATATGGAAGATACAAGGAGAAAGGACCAATCGTGCAGAGTGTATAGGATGAATAAGAAATAAATTAAAATATAAATGGAACACTCACATTTGAATGAGCTATGGCCAGCTCAGGTGTAACAGGCATACGGCGGAATTATCCCCGCTTATAGGATATGTGGGTGCTTGTCCTCCAGACGATAATGATGTCCAACTCTCAGGAGAAGGGGAGAATAAAAACAGCAAATAGTGCTCTCTGGTGATGTGACGTAATATTGAATGAAATAAAATATACTCACAAATGGAGTGCAGACGACACTGCACTCTAATAGTAGCGTTGGTGGTATGATCCCCACCTCGGGATAAATGTTAAAGATGATTAAAATGCCAGAGAAATAAAATAGTGTGTAAAAAGGTAATGGCGCAGAAATCTAGCCAAAATTTATTTATTACATAAATTACACAATATTTAAAACCATTAACGCGTTTCACCACTATGGTTTTATCAAAATGGAATAGTATTAGAGCCTGGCAAATAAAGGGTATATATAGGTACATTGGAACTTTAAAAATGGCGCCAAAATAGCATCATTAACCAATCAGAACAATGCATTGAACATTTTATATTAAAGTTTACAATTCAGTATCAAATAAGGAATAAAAGTATATATATAGTAAATATCAAATACATCAAACATTAAAAATGGAAATAGAACAAACTTTGTAACTTTAAATAAGATGTATATTAAATTAAACAGAGTATAGCGCGTCACGTGACCTGCACGGCACTATGGGAAATGTACTGCGGGTCACGTGATCGGCATCAACACTATGTGCTGCAATACGAGGTGGCAGGGAATTTGGTGACCGGGTGCTGTTTGGGATGTGCGGCCATCTTATTGGTTGGCGGCACGCACGTGATAGGGGGCGGGTACAAGAGTATCACGTGACCCGCCACCACTGGGGCAAGTGTGACGCGCGGGTCACGTGATCGGAGAAGTAGAGGTAGGCGGCGCATAGCCGCATGGGATATGTAGTGATAGGGCATCCGGTCATATATTATATAGAAATGAAAAACGAATATTATTAGTTTAGAAAAACAAATAATAATAGTTGTTTTTTTTTTTTTACAGGTACTTAGTTAAATGCCCCCCCTCTTTATTTTTAGGGTGAGGGGGGTAGGAAGGGGTTAATTTTTGGAGGGCGGGGGGTGACTAGGGGTTTGGGGACCCCTAGTCACCCGGGGGAGGGGGGGTTATTTTTTTTATTTAGGGCCCCCACCCATCGCTCAGGGGTGTGGGCCAGGGGGAGGACATTAGGTCCCCCCCTAATTAGTATTTAGGGCCCCCACCCACCGCTCAGGGGTGGGGGCCAGGGAGGAGGACATTAGGTCCTCCCCCCTCATTCTAATTTAGGGCCCCCACCCGCCGCTCAGGGGTGGGGGCCAGGGGGAGGACATTAGGTCCCTCCCTAATTAGTATTTAGGGCCCCCACCCACCGCTCAGGGGTGGGGGCCAGGGAGGAGGACATTAGGTCCTCCCCCTCATTCTAATTTAGGGCCCCCACCCACCGCTCAGGGGTGGGGGCCAGGGGGGAGGACATTAGGTCCCCCCCCTAATTAGTATTTTAGGGCCCCCACCCACCACTCAGGTTGCAGCAATAATTCAACTTGATATGTGGAACATAGAAAGTGATTTTCCTTATATGCAGGTTGCAGCAATAATTAAACTTGATAAATGGCACATAGAAATTGAATATCCTTATATGCAGGTTGTAGTAGTAATTATACTTGATATGTGGAACATAGAATTTAGTAGTCCTTTGTGACGGACCGCCTGGCACTCTGACCGAGTACCTCCACCAATCGATGCTCCTAGTGCTCGCTGAGGACTTCCAGCACTCCACCCAACACCATCAGCACTGCAGACCCCACTTCCAGCGATGCAGCTGCGCCTGGGTCTTCACCCACCCTGGACCCAAGGCCAGGATCCAGCTCCCAGTGGGCAGGCTTCTCTTCCTCCAGAGAGCATAGCAGGAACAAGAACAACTCTTACAAGAGCTTACTCTGGGGAGTATAGTGTAATTATAGCAATCCCCAGAGTGTAGTACTCTCAATCCCCCAAGCATGAGCCGATACTTCATGAAGGGGTAAAGCAGGTCTGTTTAATGGCACCAAGCACTCACAATTTATACAGTTCCTCAGACCAGAGGCACACCCCCTGGATCTGATGGTACACAGGCACACAAAGCGTACAAACCAATAAAAACACTGTAGTAATGACCGACACTCCCACATCCAGCAAACAGCCCTCCCCTCTGCCTATGATATCATTAAAATAGCTAACACAGTAACCTAATTAAGCACAGGCAGAAAAACACACATTTTCAAGTCCAGAAAACACCCCAAAACATAAGATATTCCCTTAAACATTCCCTGATAGCCCTGATCTGGGTGAACAACATATCAAAAAAATCACCCAGATCAGAGCAGGGGTTCCAAAGTTTCATGGAAGTCTCTTTTTGACCGACCGACCGCACGCATAATTTCATCCCCAAAACAGTTCCATAGAATTTGGCTGTGCGACCGGTCTATTTCCCATGTTAAGTTCAAGTCAAACAGTCGAACGGACACCGTTCATGCAATTGTCAATATTTAAGTGCCGTTCGAATAGTCGAACGGCGTTTCGAATCCAGTCGAAGTACAGAGAAGGTAAAGTTCAGCGGTGTTCGTGCCGTCAAGTGTCCGATTTGAGTTCCATAAACCCGATGACCAAACACCACTGAACGCGTTTGACTGATTTAAAATGGCCGCCGTCACGTGTTCGTATGTCGAATGACGGCCACTTCGACTACTTCGGCTGTATCTGAAGTGCCAATTTAAAGTTGCAGGAGTGCTCCAAAATAACTTAAAGGGCCAGAAAGAGTAGCTTAAGGTCCAATAAGCCCAAACAGAGCTTTTGAACGGCAATACAGTCCAGGGGCCATAGTCGCAGGGCAAAAGGCTGGCAAGCAGGCCCCTCCAAGCACAAGTGGCGAGGTCACTTTCGCCACATCCTTATTTGCAGGTTGTAGTATTATTTAGATTAGGTATATTTAAAAGGACACTATAGTCACCAGAACAACTACATCTTATTGAATTTGTTCTGGTGAGTAGAATCATTACCTTCAGGCTTTTTGCTATAAACACTGTCTTTTCAGAGAAAATGCAGTGTTTACATTACAGCCTAGTGATAACTCCACTGGCCACTCCTCAGATAGCTGTTAGAGATCCTTCCTGGGTCATGGCTGCCTAAAATGCATCCAAA